CCACCGACACCAGCTTTGAATTCCCAGACCAGGCACCTTCTTCCCGTCCACTTGTGTCGATTCCGAGCTCATCAAGCTGATGTCAAATGTGATGCCCTCTAACTTGGGTGTTGGAGGGGGGTTAGGTCGACCCTCGGCATTCTTCTTTCTTTATCTTGTTGGCTAATCTTTGCTTGCTGTATTCATTTACAATTACATGTTAGTTTTTGGGCAAAACTGGCATTAGCCTCTATGGAATGCCATATAAATATGTTACAATAAAAAAATTAGCAATCACGTACGAGTTACTACCATTTTTTGCATTATGTTTCATCCTACTCAACTCAAAATTTTATCCGATACAAATGCTGATTACAAGTAAATCGACATTCATCTTCTGTTATTGTTTAATCTTGATGGACACTACACTCGTCTGACTTCAGAGATATTAAATTTTATAGAATTACATCAGAGTCATTCCAACAAATATTTTTTTAATGCTTAAATTAGTTTAGGTTTAGAAGATTCTATTAATATTTTGAATAATATTAGAAAAAATATTCAGAATGTACTTGAGAGAGCTCTTTTATAACGACTTCTTATGGTTATTACTTTTATAATTGACACCGATTACGAAGATGATTGTACGTTTATCCCAAGCTTAATCACAATTATGTTATATTGATATTAAAATGACAATCACGTGGCACTAAGGTATTGGTCAGGCACTGAGGTGTCAATCATGTCGCACTAAGGTGTTGGCCCTGTGGTGTCAACCACTTGATGCTAAGATATTGTTCTATATGTTTTTGATGTGTCAACCATATGACACAGTAAAAAAGACTTGGAATGTGTCAACCAATCCCAAAAGAAGACAACACCTTGACTACTTAAATTATACATTTACATGATAATCGAGTTTGTTCGAGCTCATACTTTCAGTCATGCCTGAAATTTTCTTTCTTTTGGAAACAGTTTACTATTCAATTTCATGCACTTGATAAATTTGTTCTCTCTCTTGTCTCGTTCTCTATATGAGTGGCATAGGAAATGCTTTTAAGATCTGCAGATTAAAGACTTGGATGCTTGTTATAGTAAACAAGAAGTTACACTTCGGACAACTTGGAACGTGAAGGTTCTAATTTCTGTGATACTGGTTAGATACAGTCAATTCATTTTGTTCTGGTTGAGACTCCATGCTATGATGATGGGTTATCCAGTTCTCCTTTTGCTAGTTTGACTGCATATGTTTTTGATAAATGGATTGATAGGATAGTCTTTGCATTGTTTTCCATGTTGTCTCTGTAAATTCAATCGACTCCCTTCAGCAAAGTCTGTAGTCGATATTTTCTCTATTTAGTATCGCACTTTCTAGTATTTCTTGTGTCCTCTGAGAGGCTTGCTGTCAACAACCCTAATAAATGCAGTTGTCAAGCTTGATGTATTATTATTAGTTACTTATGGTTTAACCTCTTGGCCATCTAAATAATCATGTTCCTGGACATGGCAAAGGCTCGAGGAAAGGTTAATTAATTACATGACGACTCTCAACTTGCTTTATAAGTTTGTATGGCATCAATTAAATTCAGGTCTCCTTGGAAATTTAATGATCGTGAAAGCAGTTCATGAGATGATGCAGTGAGTTTTTACGGCATACCAAATGGTTGCAGGGGGCAATAGCAAGTTGCAAGTAAAGAAGTATTCCGGCTTGAAAGTGTTGCATGAACACGAAACCAAGACTTACTGCAGTATGATGATATTTGGTGAATAGTTTGGAAGGTAGTGATATTTGTATCTTACTGTTGAACCAAACTTATGAACTTTTACTATGTTAGATGGTCTATATGACCAAGTGGGGTCATGGAGTAGCAGTAGAAGGATTGAATGAAGCAGGGTCATCAAGCATGTGAGTATTGAACCTAAATACAACAATAAGCCAAATATTTGGTGTCAGCTACATAAATCACTTGAGATTCATATGAGAACAATATCATCATATGCCCTTTATTCCTCTTAAGATTGAGAAGAAAAAACTACTTCCCCTTTTATCGCGCTGTTTCTAAAATAAGCTACAATTTTCTTCCTAGTTGATCTTACGGAGTATCAGAAAATTATAAAATATAGACTTCACAGGACTCATGTAGCGCTTGAGAGTCTAATCTGTGCCATATCTGTTTCTTCCATTACAAATCATTGTGTTTGTGATACATCTGACAGGAAGATGTGTGAATTGACTGTATGCATGAACTTCATTTGTTGTCAGAATTTCTTGGTTTTTATAACAATGTTCTCTTTGGTTGCTCTACTAGAAAGTAGAAAGTGCTATATTTATTTCTGAAAAAGAGATCTTCCGACTGGATTTTGGTTTCTTGGAAAATTTCCACCAAGGAATGATTATTGGAGTCTTTTGTGCTTTTTGCATAACATGGTGGATTTTTGGCTATTAATAATTGTTCTTCATGTTTGCCGTGCGATTTTCGTCTTCATCAAGGTGACTCGTGTCAATTTAAGTCATGATAAATATGCTTGATTTCTTTCGGAAAAAGAAATCCTCACTAGTGTTTCTTCCTATGATTCTACATTAAATGGACGGCAATTATGTAACCATTTTAGCCAATATGAATTTCCGAGTTAGTGGAATTATGTCTATGATCTGAACAGAATTTTCTATCTTCATATTTATAATCATTTATATGCTCATGTTGATCACACCTGCTAGTTCATATCTAATTTGACATTGATTGTGTGCTATGTTTAGGTACTCCCTTTCAGCTTCTGTGACATATATGATTCTGCCACCAATTAGCTTTGTTAAAGCACGCATAGCTTCGGTGAGGTCAAAGTGAAATTAAACTATTAGCTGCACTCGTTTACAGTTACGTGGAGGTTCTTCGAGCAAGACTAGCATAAAGCCTCTTTGGACTGTCAAATAATTGTGTTATGATCAGACATTGGCAATCACCCATGAGTTGTACCAATTTTCACACTGTGCTTGATACTATTTCTGGAGTGAAGAAATTAAATTATGTTCCTGGAACAGTGAGTGATATGACTGGAATATTTTCTTTTGTAAACTCCATCGCTTACGGCTTGGTTTATTTAGTGTCCAAATGTATTTTTGGCAGAGCAATGCTGAGAATCATTATGTTCTTTTGTTCTGCATTTTCTTTTTCTCTTCCATCCTTGTTTTGTGTTTGTGAAAGTTACTGAGCTTCATGAAGTGTAGAGACTTTTCAAGAAATGAATGAAGATATCGCTTACAAGTTTTACTGGAGATGTTTCTTGGCATCGGCCATGTTGGATTGCCAGTTCTCTGATGTAGCCTTTGTTTCGACTCTGTTTTGGGTTTTGCCATTGCAATTGAAGACAAGTGGAGGACACAGTTGCGATGAAGATTTTGTTGGCCAAGTCTTTATTTGTCAATATCTGCAGTAGATAACATGCTTTTGGATACAAGACCTTCGATCAAATTATAGTCATAAAGCAATGCACGATGTAAGCAACAGCATTTGCAAATCTAGACATCAAGCAACAGCATGCTTATGGAAGCAAGATCAAGATGAAAGCTTCGCTTAGTATAAAGCAACACAAAGAGATGTGTTCGTAGACAATAGTCTTTCTTTGTTCTTACACTGAAAGCAAATATAAATTATGGTCCAAACATACATTCAAATCGAAGGAAAAAAAGGATAAAAAAAAACACAACGCTTTCAAACTGCCAAATTGCTTCAATCGCAAATAGTAAGGGAAGTGAATGCCAAGCACAAAAGACTTCGATCGATCCTGCAAAAAACAAGTTCATACATATATATATGAATGAAACAAACATAAGCATGGCGTACTAACAGATGATGACTTCCGAGTAAACCTGGAAGATGGAAGAAGTTGGCGTACGTGTGAACCAAAAAAGCACTCGAGTAAACTGGAATGAGAAGAAGAACACGACTTACAGAGACGCCAACTCTGCTCATGCTGAACCTACGTTGGTGTCGTACATGTATGGATCCTTGTTATACCAAATGAACTCGTTGGCATCGATGGCCCGAATCCTGACCTCCGTTATCTGGCGGATGATCTGCCAGTTGACCTCGCCCATGAGACACCTCTTCAACAATGGCAAGCTGCACTGCAGCTCAAGCTTTCTGAAACTGCGCTGCTGCTCCACGAGATCCGACAGCCATGGCGGCAGAGACTGCGCTGGTGGTGGACAAGACAGATGCAGGTGTTGCAAGCCAGCCAGATCTCCCACGTACTCCAAGTTGGGGCAGTCATCCACTTGCAGATACTTCAATGAAGGAAGGTTTGATATACGCCGCAAGCTGTTGTTACGCTTCACAGTGAGGTTGTCAGTCAGGAAGTCGAGGTTCTTGATTTCTACAAAGCTGTGAGTGCCCTCCATATGGAGTAACTTCAAGTTGGTCGTGCAAAGGCCTTCCGGAAGGGCTCCCAGCTTGGGACAGTCGACGAGCCAGAGCTCCTTCAGTTTAGGGAGCAGCTTACGAAGGCTGCTGCGTCTGCTGTCGTCAGCGGGGGACTCGCTTGTCGGAAGCCTGACAGGATTTTGATGACGTGACGGGTCGGAGTTGGAAGCTTGAGAGTCTTGACTTCCGACCAGATCTAGCTCAGATCGTGGCTGCCTAGGACCTGGACGTGAGTTTGGTTTTGCTTGGCCGACTGACCCTGGACAGTATGCACAAAGGTATGCAGTCTGTGAAAAATATGAAGGCGTGCTTTCCTCTGGCACTGATGTCAACCATTTTGTCCAGTTGGGCATGTTGAAGAATTGCATTACCTCAAGCTTGGGAAATGCCCGAAATCCCTGTAAACTCCGGCGATCGCCGAGGAATTCAGCACCAATGGTTCTGATTGCATTTGCCCCGTTAATGGATAGTAACTTTAGCTCTGGAAGCAGGCCCAGTGGAGGAAGCTCGCAGCACGATGGAAGATCATGAATGCTCAAGTATGACAGCCGGGGGAAAGCAGTGTCGAGGGAAGACAACATCATCCATCTCGGAAACCAATTACCGGGAAAGAATTTGATAGAAAGATACAGCAGGCTCGGTGGGGGACAGAGTCCATGGCATATCTTCCGAGCTCTTTGGGTTTGTTCCACGGTACATTGCGCTCGATCTTGACTCATGCAGAATAGATGCAATTGCCTGAGAAAAGATTTA